ATTATCTAGGTTTTAGACTATGTCAACTAAGCATTAGTCAAAAATATTGACGTGTGAGTAGGTCGATCTATCTATAAATATGATGATAACAAAGATGATGTCTGAAAACGGTAGACTACATACCACAACTGTAGACTACATTATTTAAAAATAATTGTAATAAAGCGATGGCAAAACACTATCATTCAAGCTACGCGGGTGCAATACTAGAACATATTATCATACAAAAAGACTCAATATAAAAGGCGTTCTCATTACTATTACACTCGTGTGCCCACTCACTAAATTGAACTATGTCACGAACAATAGCCGCGCGGAAGTGGTGAGGTTTTCCAACTACAGACACTGGGGAGCTTTGTGTCGACATCTCTGTCTACAATCTACACCATACATCTTGCAATTGACACACACAGCTGTCTGTGTGACGCTCGATTCGCGTGTGATACAAATTTAGACCGGCTAGCTGCCGATGCCGCTTCGAGGCGGATCAGCTTATAGGATCAAACGAGAAAGGAAAACTGCGCTATACCACAAATTACCTAATAGATGGCTTTGTTACACTATGAAACCATATAAGTATCTTTAGACATTAAAAAGTGGGTGGTAGTGGATGGATCATGCACAATTTACTATTACGTAATGGGTTTTTGACAGGAATATATAAAATTAAGCGTCATGATTAAAATGATACATAAAATGTGACGTTATTAGTTGACGTCTTATAGTTTCATTTCCAGTTAACCTTTTCCTCGTACAACAACCAACAACAGATAATTATAACCCTAAACAATTTTAAAGTAATAATAGCACCTTAAAACATTACTACTATTTGCAGCATAAAATTCGAAATGCATTCCGAGAAGATAAGTTTCTCTCTCCCATAGCAACACCGCAGTTAGGTGCCACATATGCTTTGGTTGGATCTACATTTTTATGCTAAAGTTATGGGTTCCTAATGCATAACCTTCTTTGATAAATGTTAGGAGGGATGTTAGCAAACAGCGTATTATGTTTTGCTTTTAATAATAAACACAACTAGTCCAGGCAACGAAAAGGTATAGAGGGAAATGCTTAGAACACAATTTTTGACTTCGTAACTTTGTTAGGACTAATTAGGAGGTAAACATATCAAAAGTCCCCGCCCGTAACCCTTAAACCGGTGGCAAGCTCACCGATTGGTTTGAGAAATTTCCTCCCTTCCCAGAGACCAGAGACATTATCAAGTCACCAGAAATCCAGAAAGCAGCAGCGGTCGTTTCACACCCTTTCTCCACCACCGCTCAAATACAAAAGGCAGGTGAAACCTGCATCTTAAGGTGGTATGGAGCTCCAGCGAAAGAGATTTCCCTCAATGCCTACAGGTACAAGTCATTCTTGAAATCAGTGGCCACCATGAAGCCTGATTGATATCTCTTGTTTTCTTCCCACCGAGGGAGCTTACTGCTCCCAGCATTCCCAGGAAGTGGTGGCATTTTTTTTTCCATAATTACAGACTTTCAAGAGCGGATATCTCGAAAACTTTACAAGATATCAAAAAACTTGACTGAATAAGACTTGTAGCAAATTTAATCAGCTTTCACTTTTGTCGAAGTCTCATGTCGCTAGGATGCATAGTTTCCGAGATATATGCGAAAAACCTAAAAATGGGACCTTCAATCCCCCCCTCCCCCTTCCCCCCGGCTTAAGGGCTACGGGCGGGGACTTTTGATATGTTTACTTCCTAAGTAGTCCTAATAAAGTTACGAAGTCAAAAATTGTGTTCCAAGCATTTCCCTCTATACCTGTTTTTGAGCATTCGTTGCCTGGACTAAACCGGTGGAATGCCAGTTGAAATAAAAAATAGGTGGGCCCATATTATTACAGCCAGTACCAATGCTGCTTGTCGGACCCGAAAACAAACGACTAGCGAGAGCAATGAAGCAAAACGCAGGATGTGGAGGACAATAGCAAATAATAGCGATAACTAATCGATATAACTTTATTGTAAAACGCTAATTCTCAACTACCTGTGTCGACAGCATACCTTTTGTTTAAAGGCCATATAAAAGTGTTGGCGTTTTTTGTTCTCATAACGAAATTACTTCTTAGCAATAGCGATAGAATTTTTATGGAAATATTTTTTTATAGGCCTAGGCACCGTCCCGGTGAGAACTACGCTCTACGGGGACGTATTGCACAAGCTCTCTGAATGTCGATGCCCTAATACTCCCGGGCATACTCATCGGGGTGGGTCCGCGGAAAATCACCTTGCGGGTCCGCGGACAGCCGGCAATAGTTGCCACGACACACCCGCACTCCAGGCGGGCATTAGGAGACCGCTGGTCCTCAGAATGTATGCCGGGAGCCCGGTGCAGGAATATTTTCTTGTTTTTACTGGCCCTGTTTAGGGCGTTAGGTATTAATACCCTGGTCATTTCATCGACCCCCAAGCTGGCTGAAAAGAGCAGGGAGGAGTCCTAGCTAACTTCACATTTCAACCCAATTTGTAAATTTTACCCCGTTGTACTGAAGACAAGAAAATTATTATTTAGATTGCTAGCTTGCAGGTATCATAATACAAAGTCCTATACACTAGTAAAAACTTTGTTGAGCATTGCAGCTGGCGTTTAATTGTATCCGAATAATTAATATGTTACCATAAAACGACGGCCGCAGTACCTTCGTAACGAAGGCACAGGATTTATTTAAGCGGTGTAATCAATTTAGGGAGCCGGCATTCAATTACAAAGTGGATTTTCTTGAGATTTCTCTTCCTTTAGGATATCTTAATTTCCAGGTGCTCAAAGGATGGAATATGTTTGAATATATATTTTTTATACTATTATTGTAATTTCATGGTTATTAAGTGGATATACCAAAACATTTGATTAAATAAAATCATTTTTAACTTCAATCTCAATATCGAAACCTCTAATTTATCAAATGATATCTTTGACAAGTTAGTAAACTTTTTGGACAGAAGTGATATGATGAATATGTTAATTATGCAAGGAAATAAAGGAAGGCGTTCACGTGGTATGATTGTGTTGTGTGTTGTACTTCACTGAAGAGAGGAGGCAAATAAATATGTTGTATGTAAAGTATAAATAGAATCATGCCATCGCGATTGGGAACGCTGAACGCGAATCGGGATATGAATCCTAGCGAAAAATAGGTCGACCCAAATCTCGTGAGCATGTATCACGATTTGCGACTTTTACGTCGCACGTCACGGCGAATCTAGGTGGGTAAATTCAAGTAATTTAGTAAATATTTATTTTCATTTATATATGGCTCGGTTTCTTCCCGGTCTTAAAAGTTTTCTGTGTTCCCTTTACCTAGTTTCAGACAAAGAATGTTTAAATGCTATCTATTTCTTTTTAATTACTGCATTCCGTCCAGTTATCTTAGATTTTGAGGGACCAATCAAGAAGAAATTATATGTAAGATAACATACTGTTTGTACATACAATTAGGTGTTTTCGTTTGATTTTTTTTGTTGTAAAATGAGTTCAAATCCCTTTGTTCAAACCATATCGTTTATTTGCAATTTGTAGGAAAAATGTGTACACGAATCTTGCATAAGTTGTAAAATTCAAGGAAATGAGTTTCACGTTGCCTTCAAGGCAGACAACAAGTTGGATGACGGTTAAATAGATTAATTATTTCCAGATTTCATTGGTGGAATTCCGGATAAAACTAATTTCTTATAGCGAGCAAATACTATTAAATACCCCCAACCTGATGTTAGGTAAGCGGATCGCAACTTAATGCGGATACAGCTGCTGCAGCAAGTATATTAGCGACTTCCACTTAGTAGTACCGGTTTGCAGGTGCTTATATTCACGTATCAATTGAAGGACAATAGGTTAATGAAACAGCGTTGGACGCGAAAGACGGACGAAGAAGTTTGTTGAGAAATAGTTGCATGCAACTCTAGTTTGAAAAAAGGATTCAAGGCCAGGAAAGAACATAGCTATATCCAATGACAAAAAAACCCTAAAATCACGAGGTTTTTCTAACTCGTTTCGATTAATTTATAAACAGTGCAATTAGTACAACAGCAATCGAAACAGATTACAAACAAACAACCTACATAGATGAGAAATACGATAACCTGTCTCAATTTCTTGACCGCTATAAAAAGTCACGTACCACGAAGGAGATGTACCGATAAATCTTTTAGGTTTCGCTGCTCACAGCTTTGTATTATTCAACAGTACTTTGCGCACACTCGCTAATATCAAGTGAAGTCATATTGTACATGTACCTACGTAATCTGTGAGCGGCCCACATGTTGACGATAGCAATACCATTTTTGGTGATGACAATAGAAATTCAAATTATCATTACCCTTATATTGACAGACGTATTTTATAAGTTACTAATAAAGGTTTAAAGATACGTAATATTGAATCAGCTGTACCCCAGCTCTTAAATATGTATCAGCTTAGTTTACTTAAAACCAAATTTAACGTCAGTCTCTCTTTTTCATTCTGTATAGAGAATGACAAGGATACACTGTTGTCATATTTAATTTTAGGTTTAGAGAATCATGCCAGAATCGACACTATTTACTATTTTTTTGATGATAATTTAATTATTCTCCTATTGAAAATAACGGGGGAGACACATTTCTAGGACAAAGACCCGTGGTCCAGGTGGTTTATTAAATTAGGTACTTAACAACAAGTCACTTCATTGAAATGAATGATATTAATTTAAGAATTAGCACCTTTAATTGGATAAAGACCTTTTAATTATCAATGTGCCTACTGCTGGGGCACAGGCCATACCTAGCGATAGCATAGGGAGATTGGGTCATGGTTCATGAACCACATGCACCCATTGCAGCTTGGTGGGTTCTAACGACTGCAGATGCAGACCAACGGCTTAAAGTGCCTTCCCAAGTACTCAGGAGCCCTAACCATTGCTTCATTGAACTTTTTATTAATAAAACCAAGATTATTTCTTCAACGTTTTCTTGCGCTTGAAAATATTCTTAAAATCTGTATATTTACCTTCTGTGCGTTTCCCAGCGATGGGATCTGCTTCCACTACCATTTTGAGTTACCCTGAAACAAAAACATTATATTAAGAATTAAAAATGACTACTTAAGTAGCGGGATTCACTTATCTTATTTAAGACGACAAAGTTAACAAAATTACGCTTTGTATGAAATGAAAAAGACTTAATGCATACCGAAGTTTCAACGAGAGGGCAAGTTGTAGTTTTTGCTGTTGTATCGAACAAAAGTTACATTTTGCCAACTGCGTCATGCTTAGTCGTGCAAGGTATACCGATGCCGAACAGCACGGCGTGACGTGACTCCATTTGCAACGAACACAGATTCTAAATATTGTTTACAATGTTGGTTGCCAGTATCGAAAATATCAAATTAGGTACAGAAATAAACACGTGACTTAAAGCAACACCTACATTATTATGGTCAGAAATAGAACGCTGTTTCATGCATCATGACGCGGTCGGTACAATCACATCGCGTACGACCAAATACTGAGGAAATTTTTTGGTGGTTTGCTCAAATGAGAGATGTAAAAATTTTAAATAAACTTTTGCAGTAAATAACAAGGCGTTATGTGTTTAGTTTATGTGCACACAAAAGGAGGTATAATCATCAACATATCAAGTTGTCCAAAGTAGAAAAGAATTTTCAGTTTAATTTTAAGATAAAAATCTGCTAATCTTTTTGTCTTTTTCTATTATAGTACATAGAGCAAAACAATATTTTATTATCCTATTATTTAAATTCCATGGTTATTAAGTAGATATACTAAAACATAAGATAAAAAATAGTTCATTCGAACTTCATCACGATATCGAAACCAATAAGCAAACGTTTATCACCTAATAGGGGCCGACCATATAATTCTTCTAAATATACTGTGCGTGCGTATAATATCTTCGACAAGTTAGTAAACGTTTTGGGCAGATGCGTATAATGGATATGTTAATTAGGTATGACATAGTAGCTTTGATGATCTGGTAATCCCTAAAGGAAGACGTGCACGAGGTATGAATGTTGACACATTACCATGACACATACATAGCATGCGCATGTTATTTCAATAACCTGTCAGTAGATTGTTGGCCAATAAAAAGTATTTTTGTTTATCAACACGCTCAATGCCACGCTAGGAACATTCCAATGCGCAGATAAGAGGCGCAACTATAACTCATCAGCGGCAAAGCCAGCCAGACTGTCTCTAGTTAAGATGACTCACAAGTGCACGTGACACGACCACGCAAAGGAAGGAGATAATTGTTGATATTTGTAATTAGATAACGAATACTGTATCGGAGATTCGCTATCAACGACATCTTAAGGCGAGTACAGGAGTGAAAAGGTTATCTAAGAGGATCTATAACTCCAAAATAAGTCAACGGAATGTTCCAGAAACAATATATGTAGTCTAATCTGGACATTTGTAGTTGGTAGGGGCATAGCAAACTCGTGTCCTTCTCCTAACAGAAGACCACAGTTAAATAACGCTTGGCCTTTTGATGGTGTTGTGTTTCTGTTGGTGAGTAAGGTTCCATCCATGGGGTCCCCTCCCCATGGTTTTATCTAGTGTAAGCTTAAAGGCAGTGACATTCTGGTATCGTAAGTGGCAGCTTACTATCAGGCGAGCCATTGTGCTTGTTTGTAACCCTTTTGAATAAAAAAAATATAATCAAGGTAGATCGGGGCACTTCTCTAGAACGAACAAAATTGCAAGGCCAGGTCGCAATCACAACGGGTTCATTTTTGGATACGCGTAAACTATTTGTGTTAGGTCTAGAGATTGTTCTTTAAATCATACCAATAGTATCTAATATATGATGCTTTTTGCAAGTGTATTAATTTAGATATACATCTACATTAACAATTATCCACTCCTTTATATTTTACTATGTTTAATGAAGTTGCTGTATTTGTCAATATTTACTTAATTTTTTTTGCTAAAACTCAATGGCAGCGCAAATAGGACGTAACGTTTACCTACATTGATCTTCGATTCAAGCAAGGCATATACAAAACAACTGAAACATCCAATCAAAGAGATCTTGTAAAAAACAAATTAGTTTAATGAACAGAGTATCAAAGTGAGCGGGGGATAATTACTAGGCTCATTCATTAATTTCACGAGGTCAACAGACGAACAAGAATGCTCAAGTTAAACAAAAATTGTGACATTATTTAAGGAGCCTTTGAGTCAAATAGGACAGCGCCTATCGCCCAGGTGGACTATTTAACTATCTACTGTCGATAAAATACATCGTGGCTTATGAGCCAGTAGAGTTACGTTTCACGCATGGCCGGCTTTTTATAGCTGCATGAGTTAACCATTCGATGAAGATCGCAGTAGGTACCTAACGACAAATCTAGGTGACCTTTTCTTTCAACCTCATTATAATAACAACGCAGATATCAGTCAGGAAAGAACTGACTCGGGTCCTTGAAGACAGTGTAATGGGTTGCGCAGCGATGGTATCTGGGTATATTTGTGTTATGGAAATAAACAAATGTCTTTATTTTAGTTAGATCAGGTATCGTCAGTCAGTTCTCTATTAAGCCCGCGTTATTACATCTATAATTAAGAGCCCTTTTACAAAATTGCGCCGCTGCGCTGCCGCGCCGTACTGATCGGCGCGGAGGTAGATTTGCAATCAGTGTTGCCAACTCGGATTTTGAAAAAGGCGTAGGCCCGATGAGAAAATTACGTAGATTTAGTAATTTTTGCATATGAAAAGTACGTAGATCTACGTACTTTTTTCTGAGTGAAATGAAGAAGTCCGAATGAAACGAGTATTTTGTTATACAATTTCTTTAAAAACGGGAGATGGAACAAAGAGTTCTTGGAGAAATCGCTGCATTGGAAGCATTTACCATGCTGCGGTAGACCATGACCATGTGGTATTATAAAACCATGATTTCTAATAGATCACATGAAAAATAGAGTTAGTTATCATAATACACTTGGTAAAAGACTCTAGAAAGTTGTGGTTAAAATTGCCAAGAGAAATAATACATACACTTATACATGAACACATGTTAAAAACTTTCTAATTCCTGTAACTTTATCGACTGAAAGTCATTTCTTTTTGCAAACATCAATTCGATGTAAGTACTCATTGAACAATATTTAAAGTTTAAAAATTCAATTTTTAAGGTTACGAATGTACCTACTAGAGAAGTCAAAGAGTTTTGTCGTTTCTCCTTTCACAAATCCTGCGTCCAGCATTAATTTAGTCAATAAAACCAATGACGGGAACCTTTTCTACAAGATACAATAGTTTTTAGATACCTCTGTTTAAGAAATAAACATTTTTATAGTTTTTAAGAAAAGTAACGGAAAATATTCTTCTTTATTCTAGTGAATTAATTTATTTTACAAATTTGAAAAAAATCAAGAAAATACGTAGATTCTGGGACTAAAGTTAGTAGGTTTGCAGAAAAGGCCTAAAATACGTAGATCTACGTAAAAAGACGTAGAGTTGGCAACACTGTTTGCAATAGTATATAATATTGCATTTTACGGGTGATGGTTCTAGTCTTATAAAATATTTTTTAATGAACTAATTATAAAAATATATACACATTTTAGTAGTTCAATGATGGTAGATTAGTGTTATGAAAGTTTTTGACAGTAATTCTATTTAATTCAATATCAAAATACGAGGTAAACCTGCATTGTTTTTTGGGAAATCTCACCGAGGTTAAATGTTTTTTTTGATAATTAATGAGGTGGAAAATCAAAATTCTAATACAATATGTTACAACAAAAACATATTTCTGATGTCGTAGTAATTAATTTGATCTAATTTATTCAACACTATTTAGAGATTCAGGCGTTTGAAGTTGTGCATATTATCGTTTTTTCCGTAAACTAGCTGCGGTAGAACGATCAATACAAAAAATTGAAAATAGTATTTGCAAATATTCTACATTAACTTACAACAGAAAAAACGAATCTACTGTTAACTTCTATTGGAAATAGTCAAAATTTTTTCTAAGGGGGTAAACGAGGCGCTCAAAAATTAGGATTTTTTGCAAAATATGTGAAAGGGCTCTTAAATCTCAACTCGAAGGTTGGTTCGTAGGACACGACTTGTTGATTTTAACTCGCTTTAGAGTAAAACTTTCGAGTATTAAACCGCGTATGTAAGTAAGGAATATTAAATAATTTATAACTTCTACCATAAAGCCAACATTACAACTATGCGTTGATAGAAGTCTTCGGAATGTCGAAGGATAAAAGAACATTATTATTTGTAACTAGCTGTGCCCCGCAGTGTTACCCGCGGTCAATTAGGGATGTTTTTCTAGAGTAAAACGTAGCCTATGTGGTAATTCAGGATGTCAGAAAACTCCAGATTTTATTTAAATCGCTCCAGTCGTTTAGACGTGAAGAAGTAAAAAACATACACACTCACACACTTTCGCCTTTATAATATTAGTGTGATAAAAAGTGCCTCTCTAACTCTACTCTACTAATAGTTGCGATACGTACGATTGGATTTTCTATTGTGTATTCTTATCGTGTGCCGCTAAAGAGAAAGCATTGCGTGCAGTAATTGTTTCATTGAACTTTGTCGATTCGATTTACTATACATGACATCAAATTTATGATTGTATATCAGCGGCATTATGATTTTAAGACTGACAACGGCATGTGATAAGATAAATGGGATTACAACAAATAATATGACTAATGAGGAAAAAACACAAATGGTAAATAAATTAAAGGCGGGTAGACGCCCCGAATAGCAGCCCTCTCAAAAATACAAACTTATTCGCCTTTTATGATTGATAAAAAGGATTCTATAGGTCTTAGTTACCCATGTGATTTTAAGAACCTATAGTCTGGTATAGCTTAGGATTTTTTATTGTTAGTTGGCCTTACAAAATCTAACATCAAATTTTTGTTATTTTTAAATAAATCAATGGATTAGTCAATACTCTCCACTATATTGCTTTTCCATAATAGTGTTAACACAATATAATCATTAACACTGATTCAGTGTCCAGTGGCTATGATAATCAAAATCTTTTATTTTAAACATTTGCATTTTTTGACATTAGGCAAATACAGTGCAACCTCGATATAAAAAATCGGAAGGGAACAAGTAAATATTCAAATCTAAAGAAAATATAACTAGAAAAAAATCCACGCGGACTTATTATGCTTAAGCTGCAAGGCAGCGCCATCTCTTCGCATTGTAGGTATTATAGTTATAATTAAGAATGGCTAAAAGAATATCGACGCGGGCATCAGGGCCGCGGTAGCATAATTGGTCAGTGCATTTGCCTGGATAGCGAAGGGTGCGGGTTCGAGTCCAGTGTCCTGCCTGGGGGCCATTCGCCTAACGGAAATGCTTTGGAAAACGCCATCGCTTACGATTTCATTTTGTTATTTCTAGCCGCCTGAGGTTTTCAAATACATGACGCTCATTTTTTTAAATATTGGTATTATTAATGCAAAAGAAAAAAAAGAGCGCGAGGCATTTGAAAACCTCAGGCGGCTAGAAATAACAAAATGAAATCGTAAGCGTTTGCGTTTTCCATAGCATTTCCATTAGGCGAATGGCCCCCTGGTCCGCGTGGAATTTTTTGCTAGTTATATTTTCTTTAGATTAAAACATCAAGCAGTTACATGCTTAAAAAATAAAAAAAAATAGAAATTAATTATTATTATTAAAGTAAATATTCGTTATATCGATAATTCTTTAAACTGAGGTTTGTTATATTGAGGTTAGGTTTGTCTAAAATTTGTTATGAAGAGGTAAATAAATAGTTTCCTGGCGTGACATGAATCACGTAGGTACTATGGGATTAAGGGAGATATAATGATGGAAACGTTATATAAAGGTTTTTAGTTGACAAAATTCGTTAATTAGAGGTATTTACTCTTTTTTTGATAGTTGAAAATTTGTTATAAAGAGGTTTGTTCGCAAAAAATGTTCGCAATGTAAAGGTATATTTTACCTTGACTCTTATGGAAAATTCAAGGGGATTACGAAGAATTTGTTAAATAAAGGAAGTCGTTATTATGAGTGTGATAGTGACCTCACACCTGGCTCCCGCAAGTCTTACGGACCCCCAGTGGCTGCCCACCGAGGACCCTGCAACTCTCATGGTAGCCATACACACTACGAGAAATCGTTACGATTAGACTGTACCGTACCGGATAAATCGTAGCGTGTATGTTATAAAACTGCACAGTTTCCTATACGTACGCCACGTACGATAAACTGTTCCGTTCGAACTGTATAGTCTGATCAAACGATTTCTCGTAGTGTGTATGGGCATTACGGGCGCTTTACGGCATAATATCCACTAAAAAAGTCCTGCGAATACCTTCTACACTGCTTAATGCAAAGCCGCGGGGTCCCCGTTAGGGATTCTACCACGACACATTTACTCACCCTGACGTTTTAATTTTGATGTAAATTGTACGAAACTTTTGTAAAATTTCACGTTTGTTGCCTGGGTCGTAGTTTTTCAACCTCGTAGCTCTGTGTATTTTGTTTATTACAGCCACGTGACGTGAGCAGTAGACAGCGAATGTAGAGATCCAGACACTCGACAATTTAAACACGGGTTTAGAACTTGATGAACTTGCAAATCATTATCAAACATTTTAACAGGAATTAATTACTACAATTGATTGTTGTGATAGTTATTAATATTCATTAAAGGCATATCAAATTTGACTGATATTTCATTTGTTTATCATTTCACCACAGATATCAAACACATAATTAGGATTTAGGATATAATTTTTTATCTTTATTGCAGTTTCAAACTATTGTTATCTCTTGCTTATGATTCATCAATTTTGTGAATAGTATTTTTCCTTGGTATGATTCAGGGTTTAATACAGATATTGTATTACAAAATATTATTGTATTGTGAAAGTAATTTACATCATTAGGTAATTTTTTGTTACCATGATATTTTATTTAAAAAAAGTTTTTTTTTAAATTCCTCAATATTATCTAATATATCATAATGCTAGATTTCTCAAACATTTCTCTCCTTCAGAAGGTACAAATAATGATTTTATTATCAGAGACTTTCTCTACAGTAAAGTATTGCAATGCGCGGAGGTGAGTTGAAATTTAAACCATATACTCAAGCCGACTGTCCCTTGCAGTTGTGAAAAAATCAATCTTGCAAGTAAACAAAAAGAAGATATGGCGGTTTTTGTTGTGTACCTAAAATTTTTTATGGAAATGGCTCTCTCTCACTCAACTACGACTCGCACTTGAACAGTATAGTTTTTAAATCCTGAAGTGGATTAGATCTAAAAAAAAATCATGTATTTATAATGTATATTATTCTTATGATTTTAACAACACAAGTCATTAGTTGCAATAAATCCAGTTACAAAGTGAGTGAGAATGCCTGTAAACATAACATCAACATACCTGTGCATGGCAGTAATTATTCTTTGTTCTGAGTCAATTATCTGCCTGAGTGGAGTTACATACCTTTTGCGGTAGAACTGTACTTTCAGGGCCCAAGGGGTGATAAGTGATTTTTTTTGTAGAAAAGGTCTCTTTTAAAAAAACTTTTTCTGCCACTTTGCCGGCTGCTGCTGCGGCACGCTCGCTTGGGTCGCACTTTATGGTCACAACACTAACCTAACCTAGTGTGAAGTATCACCATTTGGGCCGTGGAAGTACAATTTAGCCCCTATTGCTTTTACTGTGGTGATAGCATATGGCAAAACAAGCCTTTAAACTTTCGAGTATAGTTTGATCATTTATTCATTATATCAACAGTGGAAAAGCAAAATTGCTTATATGCCACTTTGTTGTTGCTTGAAAATTAACTTATTATCAGACATTATTTAATCTTAATTTTTAAGCAGCACCAAAGTGAACATACACTTGAATTTGAATCACCACACCAATGTGCATTTTATTTATTTATAATTTCATAGTATATAATTATATATATATTTTTTTTTATTCTTATGACAAATCTTTGCTTCGCTTATATTTATGTAAGTATAGCTCCTGTATCTACTTTTGCACCCTTCTATATTTCTCTATTATTATTCCATTTCTACCATAGGTTGCCTGGAAGAGATTGCTGTTTAGCAATAAGGCTGCCTATTGTACTCTTTCTTGTTTTATTTGTTTTATATCTTGTGTCCTTTGTTGTGTGCAATAAAGAATATTTATTATTATATTTCTTATTAAATCTCATCCATTGAAACTATTGATGATATAAAATGACAATTTGTTCAATGATTAAGACAGTTCTGTTGATGACAAACTTTTTGATGATATTATGATGTCCTTACAAGGTCTTTTATGAAAATAGTATCCATTTTATTTGTTTATTAAAATAATTTTCAATAAATAAATCGTCAGTGGTATTTTCACTAACTAATAGTATATACTGTTTGAATTATTGTTTAGTTGTGTATATGATTACTTGGCAATGGTATGATATAAAAAATATAAAGTTCCTTAAATCAAAGTAGACAGAAAATAAACTTTGCCATAGTATTTAAACTACTACAATGTAACAATAGAAGCGTCAACAATATAAGATTTTGCTGTTTTTGTAGATGACAACACGGAACATCTATCTACAAGTCAAGGTTACGTGCTAAAAATTTAATTTACTATAATATTCTGTACTCAATTAATTTGTAAATAAAAGAGCCAAATACTATGTAGTTAAAAGAATAATACAAACGAACAGATATAATGTGACGCATATTTCATAAAAATGCGTAGGAACATACACACTAAGACAGGTGTTCTTGAAGAAGTACCAAAAATATTTACCTTCACGGGCTTGATCACTTCTTCTACGCCAAAATTTATCCATAAAACACTTTCACGGTTAAATAATTTGACTATATATGGCAATAGTACAAAACAGATTTTTTATTTACAATTATTTCACAAATATTTGCACGAAAACACCACTTTCTACTGAAAAACGAACGAACGAACCAGCCAGCAGAAACCAAACAGTTGTCACAGTTGTTGTGAAAAGTCATGGCATAGACTATAGACTAATTACCTGCAACAGATACAAAATATTGCGATTTAGTGAAAAGTTTAGGGTAGGCGATGTATCGATTATTAATGAATTGAATGTTTAGATGTAAAAACTTTCGTTTATAATGAAATTGATAAAGAACTATAATTATTACATTAAGCAGGCTACTTGATTGTATGAGCTCGGTACTCTTTCAACATATCTTAAGAAGTTTTTACTTCATAATAGCCTAATTCTGGAATGATTATCCTAATGTGGGAGATAGAAAAAATCATGGCAGAATTACACAATTTCTGCAATTTAACCCCATTGAATTACATTGTGGCACTCCATTACCAGGACAGAGTTTATTGTGTTGCTACGTAGGGCTTGAAGCACGGATGCACTGTCAGAGATGATCTTAATGTTGAACTCTCTGATGTCTCTGACTGCAACCGCCTGTGCCGCTCTGGTAATGCCAATACATTCCGCCTGGAAGATTGTGCTTAGTTTGTCTAAGGTTGTGGATATTTTTATATTGAGGTCGTTCGAGAAGACACCGGCTCCAGTACCAATGTTGGTTTTGGAGCCATCTGTGTATATCCTAACTTCCCCGGCGCCAGAGTAGTCTACCTTTTCCGCGGTAAGTTGGATGTTGTATCTTCGATCAAAGACGTGTTGACCCAATATTCTATCCATAGGTGCCTCCAGGAGTGGAATCTCCTTCATGCACTTTTGTAGAATATCGGAGTGTGTTGTTACAGTGTTTGATCTCCATAGGCCCAAAGATCTTAGTCTCAAGGCTGCTGCTTTTGCCTCTTCTTGTATGACCAGGTCTAGAGGTCTTAAGTTCAAGAGGTACTCTAATGCAGCAGATGGAGTTGTTCTCATGCATCCGTTGCCATCCAGACTTTGGAGTTTAGATTTCACTGTGGTCAGTTGGGTCCTGGGCCACCAAACAACTGAGCCGTAGGTTATTGCTGGCCTGATAACTGCTGTGTATAGCCAAAGAGTGATCTTTGGACTAAGACCCCATTTTTTACCAACTAATCTTCTACACTGGTTACAAGCTATGCAGGCCTTCTATGTTTTTAATTCAATATGACTCGCCCAGTTCAATTTGTTATAAAGGATTGCGCCCAAATATTTCACTTGTGTTGATAGGGAGAGTTTGGTATTAAACAGTTTTGGTAACTGTAGTTCGGGTAGCTTCCTTTTGTTGGTGAAAAGAAAAGAACAAGCTCTGTTTTATTCGGGTTTACTGACAAATCATGTTCGTCACACCATTTTTCCACAATCTGAAGGGCAGAACGCATAACTTTACACAGGACGTTTTCAGCGTTCCCATTTATCAGAATTGTTAGGTCATCCGCATAACCAATAGTAGTGTATCATCTATCATTCAGACTCCTTAGGAGGCTGTCTATTACTATGTTCCAGAGAAGTGGTGATAGCACTCCCCCTTGAGGACATCCTCTTACTACCTTCGCACGCGTGGTAGTGTTCCCCACTATCTGAACCGCCCTTTTGCCGACCAGTTCGGTAATCCAACTCCTGGTAAATTGGTCCACCTTGAGTTTTCTTAGGGCGTGGTTAATGCTGTTGTGCATCGTTTTGTCAAAAGCACCTTCTATGTCTATGAAAGCTACCAATGTTGAGATTTTGTTTGTTATTGCCGACTCTATTTTATGGACCACCACATGCAGAGCCGACTCTGTTGATCTGCCTTTTCTATAGGCATGTTGTTGAGGGTGCAGCGGGACCTATTTTCCGCATTTATTTGTATATCTCAATATTATAATATAATATTGCGTGGCACAAATCCGCCACTTTCACAGACAGGTGTTCAAGTCAAACGACTTTGACAGAAATCACACGTTTACACAGTTTATGGGGTAGACTTAGACAGACAGGCACGGTTTGAGAGGATATTTCATCTACTTAACATTATTTTATCTAATATTTCTGCTATTGCTAAGATTTAATTTCATATTCTGTTATACAAGGTGAAAAAAATATTAGGCCCACACCTAGTTTATCGAAACCCCATTTAGTTAACATCTTTAAACTAGTGGTCGTCTATTGGCATTTATACCCTTTTAGTTCCTCTGTCAAAGAATAATCTTCTACATAATGTGTGGAAGGTTCTTCTGTCAGTGTCATTATATGTGTCAATCACATTAAAGATAAATATAATCTTACTGTATTCTTTAAAAATACCATATATAATTATACAGAAATCTCACAGTGTGCTCATTCAATGTGTTAGAAAAAATCTAAATGTATGCTAGGCATAGATACAGGGTGTAACGATAGAAAGAGTACCTACCTATCGCAAGTGTTACATAAATTGAATTGTGCATGTGTGCGTATCGGTGTTGGCTGCTGCCGCTTCTCATCGCGCGATATATCATATACCCTCTCCGTGCGGCCGTAACGCTTTTTCGTGACAGCAAATTCCTATTATCCCCGTCTATATAGAAGTTTCATTTTAAAAGGCGCAAGTTTTTCCTTCATGTACTAATTAATATAAAAATGTATATGAGAAATAAGGGACTACTACGACTACTTAAAATTACTGGATTTTATTTAGATATTTTGTGTGGGCACGATATTTTGGCACTATATCAAGTGCTATATTTCCGGATTACAACTGGAATAAGTAAATGGGGTAAGTTATTTTATATAATTCAATTATAACAATATAAAATTTATACAGTAATTGAATGAAATAATTGAATTATGAATCTATGTTTCGTTTCACTACCTAATCTCTATGGTTTCAGTGTTGACAGTTTTTTACAATACCAGCATATCAAGGATTTTTGTTAACCATGTGCACTATTTACATTTTTATGTAATATTTTTTTCAAAATTTACAAATGTTCTCCATGTTACCGATTAAGTTGTTTTTCAATTAATTATGTCGTCTCTTTTATACCTACCGTGCACCAATGAGTAAAGTTCCTTGTAATTTATTATTAAATTCGTTAGAAAGCTGCTATTTTACAAAGAATATTATCAAAATACCTATTCGTCTAATATTCAATCTACGCTTATGACATAGCGATTAACGCTTCTATTTTCCTGAATAATAAATAACAATAAATTAAACTATGTGATACGTACGCATTAGGTAATTAAAATTATTATTATGGAGGAGCTTTTTCTTAAAGAGTGGCAACACTGGCACTAACTTCCGGATTTTTGTCGGGCGGGCCGATAATGTCTTGCAGGCCCAATCAAATCATTTAGCCCGGGAGTCGACGTGGGTGATAGTACACGCTGAAATATTTTGTTTTGTATTCAGCGCGAATTACTTACACATTTCGATAATTCACAATTTTTATGCAAATCAATGACCCGTGATTATCTGACGGGACGGTGAAAGGCTTTTTCGTGTGAACTTATTTTAATGACTGTGATTTATTTGTAATCTTGGTGAAAATGACCGCTTCAACGATGATTGAATTGGAATCCTGGATAATCTACCAGTGTGTCCTGAATGAATGTCATGTGTCAAGCAGCTGTAAGTATTTTCCTGATTTAGTTACCTATTAACAAAATTTAGTTTATAAAAACTTTCTGGTAAATCAAAGGTAAATTATAATATAAAATGTAGGTAATAGGTATATTATTGAATTTTATTGCTTTTTGTATTCTCAATATTGATAAAATTAAGAAAAAGAAAAAATACTACAAAGCTTATGATAAATATGATAATATGAGTATTTTCCTTGTTTTTATTTTCAAATATAAAACTAAATAATATTTTAATGTTAGTGTTAAAGATAGTTGAGAGCCTTGAAAGTATTGCACACTAAGGTATGTAATATTGGACAAAACAATACTGGATCTTATTAAATAAAAATTGTTCCTATTATTATTCTAATTTTATGATTTTTTTTTCTATCCAAGATGATGAATATACAGCCACGTTTTCCCTGGTTTTTGAAGTTTAAATTTGCTTAGTAATTGTCATTTAATATTATATTCATTATGATGAGTTGAGTATTTGAGATTAGTCATAGGTTTGTACGTATGAAGTCATTACAAAAGACCTACTTACTTACCTGTGTTGCGATTTGTTTAGTAAAAGCACCCGTACGAACAAATCATAACTTACGATTTCGCTTACCTACTATTATCTTGCGCAAAGTATGTCCTATGTCTAGTTAGTAGTATCCCCATAATGCAAACGAATATATAAATAAATAAATAAATATTTCCAACACTCACACCAATTAGCCTAGCCCCAAAGTAAGCACTGTAAGGCTTGTTATGGGATACTAGGGTAACGGATAGAATACATATACAGTACATTATATAAGTATATTTAAGACTGGAGTACAAATATATAGCTTTATGAAGTTGTCTATAAAAGTTATCATTGTTCCATCGTAATGCGAGTAGAAATTTTAGTCGAAAGTACGAAAGTACTCATTACATTATAAAACTGCGGCCCACATAAATAAACGAGAGTCAGACTCGTAGATTCTTTAAATATAGTGAAAAGTTTCTTTAAATTTTATTGTACAATAATTTTTCCCTGAATCGAGCAAAAACGTTAAAAAAATCACGTTTCTTGTGTATACAATTTATGATTTAATGGATTATCAATTTATCACCATATAGATTTCTTCTAGCATAATGATAAAAAAATCTTATTATATATATTGTAATCAATAAACCACGTACCACACATTCATTAAAGCGGTGTGCTGCTCACTGATCAAGGGGCCTTACGCCTAGCGGGATTGCTATAGCTAGCTTATTTTGTTGTTTCAGACTGCTGAATGTTTCAAATAAATTACGCTCATTTTCTTAAATATTGTTATTTCCAATGCAAAAGAAGAAAAAGAGCGCGAGGCATTTGAAAATCTTCGGCGGACAGAAATAACAAAATGAAATCATAAGCGATAGCGATAGCCATAGGAATCCCGATAGACGGTAGCCCCCCAGTGCTTATAATACTTAAATGTTTATAATCAAATTCATCTATCTACACATCATCTACAAAATTTTACAAAGTAGTGAAAAGGAACGTAAAACTCATCGAAGCGTTACATTTATTTATAATTTCGACATGAATCAACAAACATTAAAGTAGATTAATAGAATGAATACCGAGTAAACATGTTATCTGCATGCAGCAGCTTAAATAATTCCATTATGGGTTATTTAAGGATCATCAGCTTTGTATGTTCAGGGGGGCTATTACATTCATCCACATTTGAATTTTGAAAACTACTAAAAGTATATATATATATATATATATATATCTGTACCCTTAGCACGAACCATTACCGAATTCGTATCGAATGCGAGTACGAGTAAATGTATATGTATGTATGTATATGTATCAAGTTTCCATACAAAATTTGACATTGACATTTCGGACTCGCAAACGATTCGAATTCGATATTGGTTCGTGGTGGGGGTACTGTAGAGCTTTTGCGTTACAGAAGTTGTCTTAATGAAGACTACCTATTCTACAAACAATTTATATTACAAATGATCGAATGAAATTAGAAATGCAGCTGTGAGAATGTTTTATTTTCGTGACTTCTTTTTTTTTCGTTTTTATATTATAAACATAATTTTATAATTAAAGACTTGTAAGCGTCACAATGTTGTGTATCATTGATTCATTGCTTACCCAGACTTCATCCCCTAACCTGTGGACCAGTTTATATGGGAATGATCGAACATAGGTACTTACCTTGGTTTTACTTCTAGGCCGAGAAAACAGGCTAGCGGAAGATAAAACAGCTCTGTCGAGCCTCGTTTTGAGCCATGATCATCGCCATATACGTCGCAGGCATTTAATTAAATTAATCATTCAATTGTATTTTTTTAAATTAACTCACCTAATTTTCAATCAATTGGCTGTCTTGGTTCATCTTCAAAGGGGTGAATTTCAATACGCCCTATTGTTGAATGTTGAGTGATTCTAATTCAATTAACTATCGGTCGAGGCATCAAATTGATTGCGGTGATTAGGGCGTTCGGTTTAAAATCAAGGAAGTTAAGCAACTTTGGCAATGACCGACCGATGTTATCCGACTAAAAAATTACTATCTCAAGCTTCTCCGTGCTTTGGAAGGCTTGTTGAGTAGTTGGCACTTGGCCCCCATCTATCCCTACTGGACAAGCGTGGTGGGTGGCCCAATCTTCTTATTTCATCTATAAGGAAGGCCTGTGCCCCAGCAGTGGGCACATTAATAGGCTGATGATGATGATAATGGTACATGGCCGAATTTTATGAGCACCAAAACCAAGCTCGCCCATCGATCAGCTTAGAAACTTTTGAGAGTAGTCCCCCAGTTTCGATGTATACTCAACGGGCGGGATGTTAAAGTGCGCCCGTGCGCATCTGGCCGGCTGCTGCGTTCTGTGCGATTGAACACTCGGAACACTTAGCTTGATGTTGTGCTATTAATTCACTCGTTATCATTAACATTCGATCGTTCTTAGAATTTAAGCAATCTAATAAAAGAAAGAATCATTGAGGGAAAGGTAGACGGCAAGAGAGGAAGAAAAAGATGTCCAATACCACTCGTTGGTAGGGATTTTGAAGGGGATGACCGAAGATAGCCTATACTATATGAAATATAAATACACTAAACAAATGAAGGAGGAACCTGGCTACGAGTCGTACAGGGGAGTCAAAGTGCTGGCGTAAAACAGAGGGAGATGGCGGCAGATCCATGACTGCACAAGAGCATAGCTCTTAAATTAAGAGCGAGAGAGAGAGAGAATAAAAGAAAATCAGTTAATTTTTCCTCTTGGTTTTCATTAAGCACATAATATCATTACACCGGTTACCTGACTACCTATAATCATTCGGAAATGAGACATTGAGACTACATTCAGATTTTGTTTTATTTACTATTTCATGTATTTGTTTAACTTAATGGAAAACTTTTATTTCTTCAACGTACATACCTATTAAATCGTATATTTGCTTCCCGGAGGAACTGTTCCGGACACCTTTGCCGCTTCTTTTTTTTCTCTATTCAATAATGGCTCATCGATTTTTAGTTCTTGTCACGTGGGATTTCAGAACATCCCTTATTTCATATTCTTTCGCGCTTTACGATTTAAATAAAGTATTTCATAGTATTAAAACTGTATTTTAATTGAAAATAAATCTTTTATCCTACGCTGTAGTAATATATATTACACCATAAGATAATTTTTCATTTTAGCTTATTTACTTATAAGTAAATAAAACATAAATTCCATTAAAGAAATTTAATCTCGGAATGATTAAGTATATACAAGTTTAAGTATATAATACGAATTAAGAATTTACTCGCTGTGTGAAGTTAGTCAACAATTATCAAACACCAATAGTGCAGAAATCCTATAACCAAGAGTAATTACCGTAAGTAAATCACTAAATCCTTTATTGAATAACCCAAACAATGAAGCAGTTGGTTGGAGGACTCAAGATAATTTACATTTCAGGAGAGATTTAATAGGAAGCACAGTTAGGGTTTCCCAATTTATGATAGACCGCTAAGTCGATTTAGTATTGAAGATTAATGATTGATTGATGAAGGCTAAAATTCTAAACTTTCTGACAGAACAGGTGGTCTCAAATAGCAATAAATTGTTTTATTTTATTTATATAAGTAGTCACTTTAGCCATTTCAATACAAACTGTTACATAAGACATTTGATTTCCTGTTATGTTCATTTGATATTTCATGGAATTGTCATTATAAGCTTTGAGGAAATGAAACATATTATGATATGAACAATATAATCAATTTTGCTATTTTAGATTGTTTATACAGGGTACACAGATACAGGGAATAATAATATACTGCTGCTAAAGTGTATAAGGCGTATCCCTTAAAAGATGTTTGTTTAAAACAATTTGACAAAAATCTATGCTGTTCGCATCTAGAACAAATTTTTTAAAGTATAATATTAAGCTTGTAAGTATGTGCACATATTATATCTTATCCTTGTTTAAACCACACCCCTAAAGTATCAACTGATATCGGAAAATAATTTCGGTCCTCGCTGAAGTAATTCATGGAAGTCCTTGGAGTGTTTGCTGATGGATTCCTCAAGGGATTAAGGGACACGCCGCCCTAGATTCTGGGAAATTAAGGATTCAACCCGTGTCAGTAATGAATAAATAGCAATCCTATGTTTTATATCCCACAGCGCTAAGACAAGAAAATGGATAAGAAGCATTTGGTTACACGGTTGAGATACCTACTTCAAGATTATGGGATTTCAGAACGAAATTGAAAATTCTTATTTTTTATTATGTAAGTAGGTTGGCAAACAAGCTTATGGCCCTCTTGATGGAAGCGGCTGCAATTGCCTTTCGACGTTTGCGATATATGTAGGTAGATACAGGATTATTAATCGTGCGTTGCCTACATAGCGGAGTCCTGAAAGCTTACCTACTCACCGTCAGAAACACAAGGATATGTGAATTACTTAGTAGTGGTCTTTCTTTTACAAGGTAGAATAATTTCCAAATTGTTTATCAGCATCAATAAT